TCCTTTAGGGGTTTTTTAAAGTCATGTTTTCAGTTACACCTACGAAGAAATTTTGGGCTCATTCCCAAAAATAAGCAGTCAAAAGGCCCTTCTGAGTGTCCTGGAATTAACAGGAAGCACTTCAGAAGCACAAAGCAAGCACAGCTTTATACCCCACAGCATTTCAGACACATCCAGAGTCACTCCAGCACGGGTTCCTGAGGAGCCACAGAAAGTGAGGCTTCAGCAAGGCTGGCTGCTCTGTCCTGCTCCCTGGTTTGTGAGCTGCACTGCTGCTTCAGCACTTCACAAAGTTCTTTTTTGGGCTGAAAGTGCCCTCAAAATGGGGCATAAATCCAGGTGGAAACAGTGATTTCCCTCAGCTGGAGCAATGAAGCACCAGAGGGAATCTACAAGTTATGGGGTGAGAGCTTATTTCATTTTCAACGATAAAACATCTCATGTGAAAAACAGGAAATCCTCCCAGGAAGTACCAGAACTGAGGGGTTTCAGATCAGATCACCAACCCATGCCCTGGGTAACAGGAGAACACAGGACAGAGCCACTCACTGGCACAGTCTGGGTTTAAAGAGAGAAAACACAGTGAGGACTTGTTTTCACTCCCTACTGCTCACAGCCTCCAGGACAATTAAAGCAAAATTTAAAATAATAATTCAAAAAAATCTACAGCCCAAACCACGAGCTGCAGAGGTTTCCTGGGGGATTTTCCATCTGCCTCCCTCCTTCCAAGGGCATGGGAATGAGAGGGGGCTGCAGGCAGGGCCAGTTCTCTCTCCAAACCCTGGGTGCCATGTAGGACTGCATTGCTTTGCAATTCCTAATCAGAATTTATTAATTGAGGCAGCCCCACCTGAGTCTGTGGACTCTGAAGATGCTGATCTGTGCAATCCATTTTTGGTTCCCACGTCCTGGTCCAAATTTTCATGCTGCCTGGAAAGGAAAATTTGGGATTTGCTTTAAAAGCAAGAAACACAACACTGCAGGTAGGTACAGAACAGGTGGGCATCACCTGGAGTTCTATCAAAGCCCAGTTATCCTTCCTGGAACTGCAATCCTCTTTGGCAGACACTCCTTTAATTCAGGTTTTGCATTGATAAAATTGCTGAATTTCTAATTCAAACCCATTTTGATAAATAGTTACCTCCCAAATTTTGTTTTATCTGCTAAACCTCAGTGCTGAGAGAGAAGAAAATCATATGGAGTCCCACATATAGAAAGGAAAAGCTACTTGAGTGAGGCTCCAGCATGTGGTTAATTAAAAAAAGAATGTAACCAGGGCTACAAAATCAAAGGGCTGAATAAATTCCAAGAGGGGCACAGCCAATGGCTTGCAGGAATCCCAGGAATCTGAAGGAAGGATGGGACCATAAGGCAGGTGGTGGCAGAAATGAGAACAGAAAATCAACAAACAAAACCCAGGAGGGTCATTGAGACCTGAGTGGGCCAGGACAAAACAGGAGCCACACAAGGGAGGAACTGTGGGAATAATGGGATTAGAGGAGTTAAGAGAGCAGGAAAAGGGAGCAGCTGGGGTTTAGGGAAGGGGAGCAGCTGCAGAGCACAGAGCAGGAACGGGGCAGGCAGGAGGACACAGAAGGGACACAAAGCTTTTTGTGGGAGAGAGGGAAAGCCAGGGAAGGGCTCAGGAGGGAGGGGAATGCCCAGAGCAGAACCAGGGCAGGGGGAAGGTGTCCCAGAGCATGGATCTGTGTGGGATGGGGGCAGGAGGGCAGAACAGATGGGAGGCAGCAGCCAAAGGGGGCCCTAAGGGACTCCTGGAGGTTTGTGGGGTGGTGTCAGCGGTCAGGAGCACACAGAATCACAGGATATGACTCTATGCAGCTGCTTCTATTGAGACCTCTGGGAATCAGGGGTACAGACCCAAATCTGACTCCCACATGGCTTTCGAGCTGAACGTATTTTATATTCTATCCTTATAGAACTTACATATTAATTATTAAACTTATATTGTTCTATTGTATACATTGACCTTATTCAACCATGAGTTTCTCGTGATCTTTCTTAAGCTTCTGACCAGTTTCTCATGATTATTCCTACGATCAAACAGTAATTATATTTAATTACTAAACAATCATCACATCTAACAATTATATCACTTATCACGTACCAGCTACACAGGTGCAGTTCCAGCAAGGCACAAGGCCTACACGTTCCCAGGGTATTTTCTCAGGGCCTACTAAGCTTCATTTTCCTTCTAACCCTAAATCCCCGTGATTTTAAAACCCTTTCACGATCAGCGGGAGGGTTAAAACCGAGGCCTCGTGGGTGGGCGCGGGCAGAAGAAACAGCCCCGGGAGGCCTCGTTTTTGGGGGAAGGGCTGGGGGAAGAGGGGCTGGAGGTGTGGGAAGGGCGCCTGGAAGGAGAGGAAGCGGGATGAGCCCGCAGTGCCGGGCGGGGAGAAAGGGAATAAAGAGAACCCTCCATTGGGGGGTGGGGGGAAAGGAAAAGGAGGGATCCACGAGGCTGTTTTTTGGGGGGCTAGGGCAGATGAGCACCCCGAGGCTTTTCCTTGGGAAGGAGGGGGGACAGGGAAGGGAAGGAGTTCCTGAGAGCTGGGAATAGCTGGGGAAGGTGAGGGGGGGGTAAAAAAACGGCCCGGGGCCTTGGGGCCTTGCGAGGGGCATAAAGCCATCAAAGGGGTTTGGGGTTTTTATCTGTGTAATTCCCTAAGGGTTCCCAGTGTAAAATACGCGTTTTTCACAATAGCGCGGGAGGGAATTACGGGGGTGGAGGGAAGGCGAGGAAAAGGACTCCTGGAGGCCTGGGGGGGGTTTATACAAGGGGGAGCCTCCCTAGGCCCGGCAGCGGGAAGAAAGCGTTTTGGAGAGGGACAAAGTGCCCGGAGCAGAGCAGGAAGGAGCTCCCTTGGCACGGCAGGAAGCAGCGCGGGACGAGCCCTCCAAACCTCGCTTTTTCCTGCGGGAGAGGGGGGTCACCACAGAGGGGAGAAAAAGGAGGCGCCCGGGCTCTGGTGGGGCCCGCGCCCCGACTCACCCGCGCCCCAGCTGCTCCATGGTGAGGCGGAGATCCGAGACAGGCGAGAGCTCATCCTGAAACAGCGCCTTCACCACGGCGGGCGAGGCGGGGGAGGCCGGCGAGAGCAGCAGGAGGCGGCGGCGGCGGTGCGGAGCGCTCGGGGTGGGCTCCATCGCAGCGGGACCGGGGATGCAGCGCAGCCCTGCCGCCCCGTCCCGTCAGCGCGGCCGCCGCGGCGTTTTGACCCCAACCGGTACCCGTCGCCCGCTCTGAAGCTGGCGCCAAACCGCGGCTCGGCCAATCAGCGCGCGGGGCCCCGCGGGGGGCGGGTTGTTTTTTTTCAAACCTCCCCTCCCACCGCGCGCGCCCCGGCCAGTAGGAACGGCGGCGCCGCGGCCAGGCCCCGCCCACGGCGGTTGCTTGGCGTCGCTCTGGACCAATAGGAACGCGAGGAAATCGGAGTTGGAGGGGAGAGCGCGCCAGCGCGGAGGGACTACATTTCCCAGTATTCCTAGCAGGCGCGCCGCGTTATCGCTGTCTGCGTTGCATGCTGGGTAATGTAGTTCCCGTCTCATAGCGGCGCCTCTTTGCCGCCATGTTTCCGGCCGTCTCCCTTTAGCCTGGGCATGAGGGGAAAATGGGGAACGTGAAGGAAAAAAGGCACGAACTCAGCAGATAACGCCGCCTCGCTGACACAAAGAGCCCTTCCCACATGGTTTTTCATCAAATGAGCTCTCCCTGAGAACAAAAGCCACTTTGTGAGGCGTTTGGTGAGCGGCTGGGGAAGTAAGGCACTGCACATCCCTGCAACACCAGGATGGGGTTCACGGACAGAGGAGCAGGAAAAGGGAGACTTGACAGTACTCCACATAAACTCTTTAGGACACTCAGCTTCTCCCCAGCTGAGCGTTCGCAGATCCATGCTGTCCAGCCCCTGGCAAATCCTCTGCCATGTCTCTGGTGGTTCCAGAGGCTGCTGTGTCCAGCTGATCGCTTTGGATGCAGGGGATCTCCAGGACACGACCCCTGCGCCCTGCCACCCCCAGTCACACAGTGCTGCTGGTTCCTGGATTAGACAGTGGGGTGTTTAATCCTTCCCTGAGCATGCCGGATCTCAGAGATCGCCATCACACCCCGGCTCCTGCTGCTCTTCCAGGCACCCTCACTCCTGCTATCCCTCCCTGAACATTTTCCTTTTTACAAGACTTTTTTCAGCAGTTATCACCACCAAACAGCATTGGCTTCCTAAGCCAGGAATTGTGGGTTCTGTTCCATCTAGGTTGCCAGCACTGATGCCTTGTGAAGGCTGACCCAGAACAGAGGCTAGACAGAGTTAAAGAATAAAGTAGGTATTTAGTAAAAGGCCTTAATGGCTGCATCTTGGGCAGCGCAAGAGCCCAGCCAGGGCTACACCCAAAATGAACCAAAATTGTCACAAAATGCATGACCAGTCATGAGGCTTCTCACTTTTATAAGTTTTGGTCCATTTGCATATTGGAGTTAATTGTCCAATTCCAGCTTCAGGGTTATGAAGTCCTACCCTTCTTGTTTTTCTCTCTTCAATTCACTGTTGTTTATACTTTTGGGGCCTGGACCTTCTAAGGGTTATCACTGGTCTCAGGCTGGAAAAGGATTGTTTTCTCTACCAAGCCTGTTAAGAGAACTTGCTAACACCTAACACAAAGCTCAGAGCTACACACCAAAGCAGCACATAATCCAAAAAATATGAAAGGCATCATTATCAGCTCATGGCACCATTACCAGCTCAAGGCATCATTATCAGCTCATGGCTCCAGCCTGGCTTCCTGAGTGTGGGGTGGCTGCATCATCCAGCACAGCACAGCACAGCTGCCACCAGTCCTGCAGTGCTGCCAAAGGCTGGCATGGACAATCAGAGCCTCTCCCCTCCCTCTTCCCGATTATTCTGTGGCCTCAGTGCCCACAGGGAGAAGACACCATCACCATGGGATCTAGCCAGGATACCAGCACGCAGACACCCCCAGGCAGGACAGCACTTCTTTAATGCTCCAAAGGACTCAGTGGGAGGAGATGCAGAAAACGGCAGAGAGGATCCAGCCCAGGCAGAGCTGCAGTGAGGCTGCAGTGTGACATTCCCACAGCTCCTCCCTGCTCAGCTAGCCAAGGGCACGGGCAGCCATCCCACCCTATCAGTCACACACCCGGATGTGGCTACCTTGGGAGCAGACCCAAAAATACGGGAAGACTTTCTCAGTGAAGGTGGTCTCAAACTGCAAGATCTGCGTCATGTCCTTTGCGTCGTAGAAGGTCACTTGGCCCGCTTCGTAGTCCAGATGGAGCCTGATTTTCTGAAGCGCCTTCCCAAGTGCCAGCGGGTAAGGGGACACACGTTCTGCTCTGTAGTAGCCTGTCCAGTCCAGCTGCAGGGCCCAGACCTTCTCAGATCTGAGCAGGTTGAGCGACTCCTTCCTCGGCACAGACTCCAGGGCCACCCCCAGGGCCCAGGAGCCCTTATTCCAGACCTCCACCTCCCAGTAATGCTTCCCAGACGTGAAGCCCTGGGAGCCCAGGACACTGAGGTTGCCCGTGAACCTCTTGGGAATGTCAGGGGGGTTACGTTTTCCGCTGAACCGCACAGTTTTGCGGTCGTCCGAGAGGATCAGGTCAAGATTCGCCGTCTCTTGGTCCAGTGTCACCTGCTCTAATGGATGACAGAAACATCAATCTGTGCCTGCTGAGAGGAGAACCAGCAGCTCTCCTCCAGCCTGCACCACGGGGCTGGGATGTGTCCTGGGAGCACAACGGGCACTCCTGCAGCCCCCTCGGGTGGCATGGGACACAGGACCCTTACTGTCCCCACTTACTGGCACCTGAGGGTGGAAAGATGCTCCCTGAGGCAGGACTGAGCCAGGCAGTGTCCCCACATGCAGGGGACAGACACGATGGGCTTTGTTAAATCTGCTGCCAGATCTGCTGGATATTGCAGCCTGTGGGGAGCAGTGCATCCCGCGGGTGTGAGCAGGCACTGCTGCAAGGCAGGAGGGGCCAGGCCAGTCCCTGCTCTGTGACAAGGGCTCACCCAGCCCGGAGCCCTGCTCTGCCGAGCAAGCGGGTAAACTTGCTTCCCATCCACCAGGGATGTTCTGCTGCCATCCCGTGGCCATCCCACAAGGCCACACTGCTGTCACTGTGCAGCGTCACCATCCCAGACACTCTGCTAAACCCACTCCTCCGGGGACTGCAGGGGGGAAACTGAGGCACCACTCTCCTTTTGGGATGTGCTCAAGTGCATCATCCCAAAAACTGAGAGTGGAGAGCGGCCTTAGCACAAATGCTGCCAGCCAGACCTCAGCCCAGCAATGCTCCATCATGCGGGTCCCGAGGACCTGCAAAAGCACTTCTGATCATGCCTAAATGCCAGCCCAAAAAACATGTACAGCCCTTCTGCTTAACTGGGCACAGCCTGACACGGCCTCCTGCTGTCCTGGCCCTCGCCTGGCGTCACAGGACAGCATCCCTGGCGCTGCCTGGCACAAGGACAGACCTGGATTTTTACAGCAGGCCTAGTCAAAACAACAGGACTCAGTTCTAGACAGAAGCTGGGTTTAGATGTGGTGTGAGCCTATCTCTGCACCAAGGACATGAGGATACTCATGCTCCCTCAGTTTCCCCCCTCAGCTCCAGAAACTTACCCCTTTTTCCCCTGTCCATCTCGCTCCGCAGGCTCACTGGAAGGAGGAAAGGAAGAGGCATGAGTGTCTCTCTTCCTGCTCCCCATCAAGACAGCAAGCCAGATGTGGAGCCCCAGGCTCCAGCAAAGCCCATCCCGGGATGGTGCCCACCTGGAGCAGCCGTTTTGCTCCTGAGCCCCAGGCAGAGGCACCAGGCAGTGAGGATTTCCCACTGCCAGCCAAGCCCAGGGGAAGCACAGCACGGAGCCAGCAGGGCTTTACCTTTGAATTTGTCCATCATGTCCACGATCCACTGGCTCTTCCTAGTGAGGCTCCCAACGCTCTGATGCAGCTCTGAGGAAACTGGCTCTGGGATTGGGGCCTTGGCTGCCTCACAGCTGAGGGGAACAGGGAGAGGAGCTCAGAGCCCAGCCACCAGCCAGGGCCAGGAGGGAAACGGAATTCCCCGCAGCCACAGATCCCTGCTATCAGCACAGGGATATAACCCCATCTTTAGGAGGGGTGCAATGGCCTCTGGTTCCTGGTAACGTCACATGAAATCCCAAATACCCAGCAGGGCAAACCACCTCCTTCCCGGCTCCTGCAGCGCTCCCAAACCTCTGCCCAAAGGAGCTGCACAGGAGCAGAGGGACACCGAGCCTGTTTCGTACCTGTGCAGGATTCTGCCAACGTCCTGCAAGAGAGAGAAAACATAGGTGAGCTGTGGCACTGCCGAGGGACAGGGAGCTGCAGTGGCTGCCCAGCTGTGTGAAGCAGGCTAAGGGGGCTGGAGCTCACCCCACCCCTCATTCCAACCCTCCCTTCCCTCAGGGTCCTGACCCAAAGCGGGCAAAGCACAGTGTCACTGCACAGTGTCACAGCACAGTGCCACAGTGTCACAGCACGGTGTCCCCATGTGGCCCAGAGCCACAGCAGGATGCAGAGGGTGCCAGGTAGGTGTCCCCAGCCCCACCAGGGCTCACAGTGCCCAGGGGGGTGTCCTAGGGTGACGTTATGGTGTTTGTATCTCCAATCGTGTGTTCTGGTTATGTTTGATATTATGTTCTGTGCTTTCAGAACTGACTCTGAAAGTGAAGGTTTGTTTTGCCTTGTTATCAGCCAGCTCACCTCCCCCCATGGTCTGCTGTCTAGAAAAGGCTGGTGCTTGCTTGCTTGCTTGCTTGCTTGCTTCTGCTTTTGCCTTTGCTTCCTAGTTAGTTTAGCTAAGCAGTCCAATTCTTTCCCTGGACTGTTTCCTTTCCTTTCCTTTTCCTGAATACCATCCAACCTGCTCCAGACTGGGATCTGGGAAACACCAAGGAACACTGGAAGCCTGCATTTTGTGATCTGCAGCAACCACCCCCAGTGAAGGAGAGCAATCCCCAGCATCCAGACCCGGGCCACCACCCCCAGGAAAGACTTTCTGGATTTGTTAATCTCTTCAGAGTGGTGAAAGAGTTTTGTTGTCATCTGGTGTTATTTTCTTTGGTGCTGGGGAGTGCTTTGTTTGTTAAATAAACAGGTTCTTTTCCACTTCTCTCAGAGAAATTTGTTTCTCCCGAACCAGGTGGGTGGGGAGGGGCCATGGGGTCTGTTTTCTGGGGACTCCTTCCAGAGGGTTTTCCCCAAATTTGCCCTAAACTAGGACAGGGGGAATGCTGCCTCACCATGAGGAGCTTGACCGCCGGCTGGTCCCGCTTCTCCTGGATCTGCGCAATCACCGTGTCCAGCAGCGACTGCCTCTCCAAAACCCTGGACTTGTATTCATCGCTCTTACTGACCAGCTCCTGGGACATCTGCTCGAGCTGGGCCAGCAGGATCTTCTTCTGCTCCTCCATAAACTGCTGCAGCTCCTTAAAGGTCTCAGGCACGCGCTGCAACTCCCACATCACTGCCATCTGCAAGGCACCACACGGAGGCCCTGAGCCCACCCAGCCTCCGGCTGCCTCCGCAGGGACACGGCTGCTGCAGAGAGGGGGCAAGAATCACACAGGAGGGGACCAGAGGTTTTGTACAGGAAAAGCAGGAAGAACAGAGAGAGGAGTGGATCTTGATGGGCCCAAGGAAGCCATATGAGTTGGACAGAGAAAAGAGAAAAGAACGTTGGCATGGATTAGGAGGTAAGTATATATCGGGAGAAGGAAAGATGGGACATTCCTGGGGAGCCATGTGGGTGAGCAATGGGGGGCATGGAGAGGAACACGAACCAGCAGGTTATCACTTTCCTGGTCTCCTCTTCTCTTCAAGTATTCCTTGTGTTCTTGTAAAGAAAGCAGGTTTTTCTGGAGTGTCTCCTAGGGCAGGGATTAAAAAAGAGCATTTTAGGTAATTTTGGAGTGATATTCACAGGAGGGAGATGATGTCACCAAACAACCCCTGTGGGGACACTCTCAGTCTGGGGAGTCGCTGGGGGTGACCCCTGAGTGTCTGGGAGTGAGTTTTGAGCTCAGAGGCAGCAGCCGCCTCTCCAAAATCACTTTAGTCAGGCTCGGGAGATCCCCATCCACAGCTCTTATGGCCAGAAACATTTCTGGAATAACTTAATGTAGAAACCCCAGAGTTTGTGGTTTTTTAAATTGGTTTTTAATTAGAAAAAACAACTTTCAAAGTTGGAAGTGGGATTTCTGGGAAGAGCTTTCTGGTGACAGTAGCAGGGACTCAGACATGCCCCATAAATTTGCTGGAGTATTAAAAAACTCCTCATGCTCTGAATCATCTCCTGCGTTGCAGTGAGCTGTGACCCCAGCCCACACTGTGTGGGAGAAAGCCTGGCTGGGGACATCTGGGCCACAAGGGACCATCTGGGGACACAGAGGGCTGAGCAGTGAGAGGCACCTGGGCTCCTGCGTGGGCTGGGGCCGGGCGATGGGAGACCCAGCAGCCCCAGCAGGGTGGGGTACAGCACCCACACTGGTGCCCAGCCAGCTGCCGGCTGAGGCCCCACGTCTGTGGCTGGCCAGGGACACACCCTGACCTGTGTGTGGAGGGAACCAGCCCTGAGTGAAACCCGGACCCTGCTCGGAGGAGACCCACCCAAGCATGGAGGGGACCCAGACCCATACCCAGAGGAGCTCACGGCCAGGGCAGACCCCAGAGTGTCCTTGAAGGGAGCCCAGATGTGTGCCCGGACAGGACACTGACCTGTGCCCACAGGGGACCCCAGCCCATGCCGGAGGGGACCCTGACCTGTGCCCCTCGGCCACCCACGCCCCCAGCCCCTCTGGCGGCGCCGCCCCGTACCCGCAGCTCCCGGGCGGCCTCCTCGGCGGGGCGGAAACGGCTCAGGTGGAAGCGATGCTCGGGCCCGTCCCGGCAGATCGCGCAGAGCAGGGCGGCGCACGGCTCGCAGAACAGCGCCAGGGGCTTGCCGTGCTGGGGGCACCGCGGCCACGCCGCCGCCTCCCCCAGCGACCGGACCAGCTCGGCCACATCGCCCAGCGAGCGGTTGGGGCGCACGGAGCCCGGCTCCAGCGGGGCGCGGCACTGCGGGCAGGCGGCGGAGCGCGGCGGGCGCCCCAGCACGCCCGCCAGGCACTGCTGGCAGAAGCTGTGCCCGCACGCCGTGAGCACGGGCTCCCTGAACAATTCCAGACACACCGAGCAGGTGGCCTGGAACAACAGCCGCTCGCGGAGAGCCAGCACCTCCTCAGCCATGGCACGGAAGGGGCCGGCACCGGGCTGGGGCCGGCACCCCTCCGGGGGCGGAGCTGGCCGGGGCGCCACGGGAACGGGCCGGGCTGCGGGGCCGGCAACGCGCTTGGGGATGCGAGTGTGTCTGTAGGAGTGTGTGTGCGTGCGTGGGAGTGTCCCCGTCTCTCCCTGGGCATATTCCTGTGCCTGGATCGCACAATACGCACACGCGTGTCCGTGTCTGCGTGCGTGTGTGCAAGCAGGAGAGGAACGAGCAGGAAAACCCCGGGGGGGACACGGGCACGGGGCCCGCTGTGTGCGCTGCGTGTGCCCGTGCGAGCGGGGACGCAGCGGCGGCCACGGAAGGGGAGGGCTGGGATGAGTGTGATTGCGAGTGTGAGTGTGATTGCGAGTGTGAGTGTGAGTGTGATTGCGAGTGTGAGTGTGATTGCGAGTGTGAGCCTTCATCCCAGCCTTCCCCCGGGGCGCAGCCGGCACGGCGCCCGCGGATGCTCGGGATGCTTGAATTAGTTTAATCGTTAATAACTTGACACGAGGCGGGGAGCTTTGCCCTGGCTCGGAGCTGGCCGCGCACCGCGATCCTTCCCGGGGCCCGGCTCCCGGCCAGCCCGGCTGCGTTAGTGCGGTTTGAAGGGATGGTGTCGGAGCGGCGGCGGCGCCGTGCGGGAGCCCGGGATGATCCTGCGCTGCCAGCCCCGGCATGCTCACCTGAAATCCCCCCAAGGCCCCGGCTGCTGTGGGCGGGAGGGCTCCGGCCTCCATCCCTGCACCGCATGGCTCCGGCGCCTCTCCCAGTGTCTCCTTCGCTCTCAGCCCAGCTCCAAAGCGCCCGGAGGGAAGCAGCAGCAGCAGCGGCAGCAGCGGCGGCGCTTAGGGAAGCAGAGCCCCTCGAGCTGCCTTGTTCTTCTCGGCCTGCTGGGCCCACATTGTCCCTTCTGTTCTGCTGCCCTGGGCTCAGCGCTGGAGGGTGCTGGGCGCCCAAAACCAAGCCCCTGTATTCAGCTGTCGGTTCTGCTCCTCTTCCACCCTCATGTGCTGCCAGCCAGAGCCCAAGGAGTGTTTTGGGGGACACCATTCACCCCCTGACACAATAAAGCAGTCGAACAAATCCCTCTCCGGGCACTTAGTGCCCTGCCATGGCCGTGCCCTCCTGAGTGTCCCTGCCACCCCACTGCCAGCTTCCCTGCCCCGGTGGGTCCCAGGCCCTGGGCAGTGGCTGTGACAGCCCATGGCTGCCAGCCCCCTGCCCACCATCCCTGCAGCAGCCTGGGGTGACAGCCTGATGTCCCCACTCATCTGGGGTGCTGCCCAGGGGTACACTGCCCATCTCACACCCAGGTGGGCACAGCAGTACCCCCTGCTCATCCCCTGTTCCTGGAGCTGCTTTCTGGGTGCATCTGTGTCCAGTTCTTCCAGCAGGCCAGGGAAGGCTGGGTGAGTGTCACTGGCCCAAGCTACAGGGACAGGAGCCATCGAGTCCGTGTCCCACCATGGGACGATGCTGTCGATTGCCACCACCCAGGTTTTCAGAGTCGCTGCCACCTGCACTCAGGGCCACAATGGCCGTGTTGTCCCACTGGCACGGGAGATGTCTCTGCAGATGGATTGGTGACATTTGAGCTGCTGAAGGTCACTGGGATGTTGTTAAATCTTGGCAGTGTCCAGTGACTGAGGCTGTTGGAGCCGTGTGTGGCGGGCGAGGAGCAGCACGAGGGGCAGGAGCTGCTGTGTGGGGCCCAGAGACACAGAGCAGGGCACTGCCAGCCTGGCCACACCAAGGTCCTAGCACTGAAAGGGACAGCCAGGCTAGTACAGGCACCTCAGCTGGATTTTTTGCCAGTAAAAAGCTGAATTCATCAATTTTTAGGAAGCAAAAGGATTCTGCCAGGCCCCCGTTGCTGCCAGTGTGATGAAGACAAGCCACTGAGAACCAGAATCAGTTCTGCTTTTCATTTCCTCCTTCCCCATGCTTGCATTCAGTCCTGGTGAGGGGGATGCAGGGAGGCTGCTGAGGGACACAGGGCTGCAGCCAGGCCCTCCTGTCCTGCCCCCACACCTCTCTCCCAGCACAGCCCCTCCACAGCACTTTTCATAGAATCCCAGAATGGTTTGGGTGGGAAGTGACCTCAAAGTTCATCTTGTTCCACCTCCTTGGAAGGGCAGGAACTCTTCCCACTATCCCAGGTTGCTCAAAGCCTCGTCCAGCCTGACCAACTTCCAGAGATGGAAGTTCAACTCCTGTCAGACAGCATGCCCTGACCCAAAACCCCAAACTTCTTCCAGGGAGTTGCAAGCACCACCCCAGCAGTAGAAAAGCAGGACCCCTGGCAGGAGCCTGCCCTGGCAGCCCCAAAAAATGCTCCCACCCACAGCGATGACCAGCTGGTGGCTCTCAGCAGCTCCATGTGGCTGCACTGCCCTCTGGCACATTCTAGCACCAAAAAGGCCACAAATCCCAGCTTAGGAGGGGTTCATACACCAGGTCCTGTGTGAGGACTTTGGTTCTGCAAAGGCATTAACAGGTCCTGACAACTTCTCCCATCATCGCTCTGTTTATTGATGCCACTCTCCAAGGAGAGATCTGACAGCACCGGGAAGGAGCCTGGCATGCTCTGGGGAGTTGGTGCCACCAGCCCAGCCCCAGCCCAGCCCTTCAGATGGTTCTCACCCAGCCACAGCCCAACCTCAGGAGCTGCAGCCAGGACAAGCTGGGATCCCCAGGAACCGAGCTGGTACGAATAGGAGCTCAGACCAACAGCAGGGAGATGGATTGTGTCCCACACACCCCGGCAGCAGGTACTCAGGAGCAGGGAGGTCCTTCCTTGGAGCCAGCCTGGAGCTGCTGCTCCCCTGGGCAGAAATCCCACCGCTCCTGCCCCTGAGGAGCGCGCGGTCGAGGCCACCGGCAGCAGCTCAAGGACAGCAGAGCAATTAAACACAACCAGCTCTTGCTCTCGGTCCCTGCTGACCCCACAGCAGCCCATGGCCTCAGGGGCAGCAGGGCCAGCCCCCAGCGGGGGGATTGAGTGCTAGGAATGAGTTTTAGGAGGAGCCTTGCAGAGGGGTCCTAGCAGAAAAAGGGTCTTTTACTGCAACTAGAATTTTATTCTATTGTATAATTCAGGAGTGCATCACAGCCCCGCGAGCCGGGCAGGCACCTATCAGCGCTTCCAATCTAGACACACGCAGAGCTTCCTCATCAGCTGCATCTGTTAATTACTCACCTCCCCCCGGCTGGAGCTCCTCCTGTCACATCCAGCCCAGACGAGGCAACACCTCCACAGAGCTCCTGGACAAAAAGTGACTGTGCCAGAATCAGCCTACAGAGCAGTTAACAAAACAAAACAAAACAAAACAAAACAAAACAAACAAAAAACAAAACCAAAAATAAAATCTTGGCCATCCTAAGGTTGCTTATCAAATAAAAAGTTCCTCCACATTTATTAAAAAAAACTGAACAGTAGATTTAAAAAGCAGTTACGAGTCCTACTCCGGCAAAACACCCTGCGTACAGGTTTCTTTTGTTGGTGGTTTGTTTGCTTGTTGGTGAGGACTCCCCCTAAATCAGCTGCTTCTGTTAATTTCATATATATATAATCTTTTAATTTTGCCGCGCGTTGCTTGCTTTAATTCATTAATTTATTTCCAATCAGCCGAGTCTCCACCAGACCAGCGGCGCTACCACACAAAGCTTCCTTGATGTCCATGCCCTGAGCCGGGGTGGGGGGGAGACGGACGGAGGGAGGGTGCGAGAGATCAGTGGAGGAGAAGGAGGACGAGGAGGAAGGGAGGGAGGGAGGGATGGAAGGAGGGAAGGAGGGAGGGAGAGGAAGCCTCGGCAGCCCCTCACTCTCCCATGTGCGTCCTCAGGTGGTACTTGAGCGACTGCTTGTAGCGGAAGCACTTGGTGCACTCGGTGCAGGGGTAGGGCCGCTCGCCGGTGTGCGCCCGCTGGTGCTCCAGGAGGTGATGCTTCTGCGTGAAGTTCTTGCCGCACTCGGTGCAGTGGTAGGGCCGCTCGCCCGTGTGGATGCGCTGGTGCTCCAGGAGGTGGTGCTTGCGGATGAAGCCCTTCCCGCAGACGGCGCAGGCGTGCGGGCGCTCCCGCGTGTGGATGCGGTAATGGTTGGTGAGCTTGGACTTCTCGCTGAAGGTCTTCTCGCACTGGCTGCACTGGTAGGGCCGCTCGCCGGTGTGAGTCCGCTGGTGGCGCAGCAGGTGGGAGGGCCGGGTGAAGTTCTTGCCGCACTGGGGGCACAGGAAGGCCATCTCGTTCTTGCCCGCGTGGATCCTCTGGTGCATGAGCAGGCTGATCTGCAGGCGGAAGCTCCTCCGGCACTCGCCGCAGGTGAAGGGCCGCTCCCCGACGTGGGTGATCTGGTGTTTGCTGAGGCTCGACTTGTGGCTGAAGCTGCTCTCGCACTCGGAGCACTTGTAGGGCTTCCCCGGGGGCGGGGGCCGCGCCGGGGGCTTGAGGCCGTGCTCGGGGCGCCGCGGGACCCCCACGCCGCGGCGCGTGTGGCTGCGCTGGTGCAGCAGGAACTGCTGCTTGTTGCGGAAGCTGAGGTCGCACTCGTGGCACTCGTAGGGCCCTTCCTTGAGGTGGTTGCGCTGGTGGATCATGAAGTTGATCTTGAGCATGAAGCTCTTCCCGCACTCGGGGCAGATGTAGGGTCTCTCCCGCGTCCGGTTCCGCTGCTGGCCGCTGGCCGGCTTCATGTCCCCGGAGTCCCTCTCGCAGGCCGACGGCTTCCTGACGCGGGCGGCCAGGCCGCGGGGCTGCCCCTTGGAGCTGCACTGCGCCTCGCAGCCCAGCCCGGCCTCGTGGCTGGCGAACGCCGGCGCCTCGCTCCGGCCCGAGAACATGGCGCACGGCTCCAGCGTGTCGGGGTCGTCCTCCTCCTCCTCCTCCTCCTCCTCCGTCTTGATCACGATCCCATCCTCTGAGGGGGAAAATCGAACGGCGTTAGGGTCATTGCGTGGGACAGGGTGGCCTCTTATACCCCTGGGTGCTACAGAAACACCTGCGTGGCTTCCTGCAGCTCTTTGTGCCTGCCTGCTCTGCCCGACCACCCGGACACGAGCTGGCTGCAGCTGGAGCCCGGAGCGCTGGGATGGGCCATGTGCCCCCAAACACAGAGTTGAGACAACCCAGCCCGGCCAGGCTCCTCTGGAGGATGAGCTCCAACCGCCTGCTAAAAGCTTTGGCAACTCTGCGCTGCTGCAGGATGTGGGGGGTAAAAGCACCATGGGTTCACCAGGGCTCGGGTGGCCGAGTGATTTCAGAGCAGCTCCATCTGCTGCCGTTTCGCTGGGCTGCAACAACACTGCTCGACAGAAACAGCTCCGGGTTGGCGGCTCTGCTCCGTGGACAGCACAGCCTGCCTGGGGCTGTCCCCTTCCCTCAGCCCCACTGCCATGTGGCATGGTGAGACACCCACCCCTCTCCTTCCCAGAGCACCCAGCAGTGGGATGGATCACGAGTGGGATGGAATGGCAGTGGGATGGATGGCAGCAGGCCAGGCTCCCCTTTGTGTCACCGGGGCCAAAAGTGAGCCGGGGACTTTGTTTGGTGACAACAGCCATCCCAGGGACACACGGCCAGCACGGCCCAAGGAAAGGCCCACAGGGCATCCCTCACGTCACCCCACACTGGCCCGTGAGCCAGGCCTAAATACTCTCTCAGCTGCAGTTTCCCAAAAGGAAACTGATGGGAGTGGATGCCTCAAAGCCGTGGCCCTCTTCCCTCTGAGGAAGGGAAAACCCAGGTCCTTCTCCCTGTCCCCTCTCTGGACCTGGGGGCTCAGCCCCCATCCCGGCCAGCACGGCCGCAGCTCCTGCCCAGCCCCACCAGGCAGGCCCTGTGCCCTGGCAGAGGCAGCAGCTCTAGGACAAGGATCAGCTGCAGCCTCACTGGTGGCTTGGCTGGTTTCCCTCACAAAGCCTTGGGCAGACCACAGGACCCACAAGACGGAGTTGAGGCCCTCGAGAGCCCAACTCTCTGTGTCTCTGTTTGTGTAAGAGCACCACAAAGCCGTCAGGAGGAAGGAACCCAGCATTCCCAACCTCTCGTCTCCCTGCTCTCCGATCCCCAGCCTTACAGCACATCTGTAGGACTTGGCCTGTATGTGCCACTCCACCAGCAGAATTCTACACATGAAACACTCAGTGCCATCATCTCATCTCTCCACAAATCACCTCATCCTTCCCCTTCCCTCTTGGCAGCTCGCAAATCACAGAGCTCCAGCCACATTCTTCCCTATCCTGTGGAGCTGCCCTGAGCGACTCCCACGCCTGGCAACCTGCAGGACCTCCCACACTCCTCCAGCAGTGTCCGGTGTGCAACCATCCACTCCTCCACACCTCACACCAACCTCGTGCCCTCTGCCACAGCAGGGTTTTGGGAGCAGGGCTCACTGGGGCCCTCACAGAACACTGCCTGAGACACACCTTCCCTTGGTCTGCATGGGTAACCAGGGCTTTTCCCAGACTCAGAGGACTGGGCCAGTGCTCACTCTGCACCTGGGCAGGACAGGAGTCCTCAGGGACCACGCTCTGCATCCACCATGGACGTGCTGCCTCCTCCTCCAAGCTCAAGGCGTGACCAGAGCCACTCTTGGAAGTCGCTGCAGCCATAAACTTTCCTTCTGGTGCTGGTTTTGGGGGGGATTTAACTCCTCCTGTCCATGCAACCCCTTCCCCACCTTTTCCTAAGCCACCAGAGCCCCCCAGGCCTCCTGTTCCTGTGCAGGGCCGTGTCCCGAGCAGCTCACCCGTGCAGCTCCCGTGGTGAACGATGACCCTCTGGATCTCGTTGAAGTCGGCTCCGTACTCGGACGAGTCGCCCAGGCTGGTCCCCGGGAGGTCCCTGGGTGGGGACACGGAGCCGTAGGGGCTCTCGCAGGCCGCCTCCTCGTCCGGGCTCTGGAAGCTGCCCTCGGACTGCCCCGACATCCCGTGCAGCTCGGGGTTCTCAGGGCTGTCTTCGGGAAGGAGCTCCTCCGTTTTGATCACAACTCTTATTCCAGCTGCAGCAACGAGAGATTCCCACCAGCCGTCACTCCCAGGAGTCAGGACAAAGGATCTGCTCTCAGCAATCCCTGCCAACTCCAGCTGCTGAGCCCACGGAGGGTTTCATCTGCTCGGCCTCCTCAGCCCCTGCCCTTCACCCATCCCTGCCACGCTCCCAGCTCCAGCCCAGGACCCTTCACAGGCACAGGGAACTCACTCCACCCAGCCTGGGGCCGTGGTGCCACAGCTCAGCTCCCCTCGGGCACCCCACATCCCCCAGCTGCAGCTCCCCGTGGGCCTGTGATCTTCCCCTTCCCATTGGCCTCAAGTTAATTTGAAGATCCTTGTGATGGAAAGCACAAGCAGGGTGTTGGTGTGGCCCCACATCCACAGCCTGCAATCAGGGATGACAAGTGGAGGTGCCACCATCTCTTCCAGGCCACCTCCTTATCTCCTTATCAGCCCCCTTATCACAGAGCAGGAGTGGCTCTGGGACTCAGGATCACTGGTGCCCCATTCCCAGCCCACCATCCCATCTCCCTGCACACAGCCTGGCACCAGGCTTCCCTGCCCGGGAAGATGTTCCAAGGATAAACCCAGGCACCATCCACACAAAGAGAGGGTGGGGAGGATTTCCTGGGTGGATGGGCTCTCCCAATGGGACCTGATTCTCCTTCCTTGCCAGGCACACTGGCTCCCTGAGGACCTGGTCTGGTTGCAGATGTTTCCCTTGCTGGGAAGGGCTCCCAGTGCCCAACTCTCTGGGCTCTGCTTGCCCTGGTTTCTATGTTGGGCTGTGCCTGGACATCAAACCTCCAATCAGCCCAATTTATCCCATTCCTAGGCAAGGTTTCTCCTGATCAACCACATCAGCCACAGCTCCCAGCAACATCTGCTTCAGCCTTGGGAAGAGCAAGGGGACACAACCCAGGGCTGCCCTGGTGCCAAGGTGCCGCCTCACCTGCCGTGGCATCAGTAATGATCTCACTCTCCTCCAGGTCCTGCTCATTCCTGCCCCGCGATTCCTCCCCTTGCTCGATCTGAGACAAAACACCAGGTTTGGAAATTGCATAGTCTGTTGAGAGACAGAGGGGTGGGAGAGAGGGGTTACTGCACTGGGAACCTGATATCGGCTTCCACCTCTTCCCAGTGCTCGGGGGACACGTGAGGACACTCGGGAACATCCACGGGTGCAAAATCCTCTGAAAGATGGGCTGGTACCCACTGCAGACCCAGGAGATGCAGGGCAGCCCTCCCAACAGCCACGGGGAAGGAAGGAGCTGGTTTTTGATGGCAAAACTGTGGCTGGAAGAGGTTTGGGAGGTCTCCAGCCCACCTGCCCACAGGGCACCCCTAACCCAGCCGTAACACCAGCACAGCATGAGCCAAAATAAACCCAGACTGAAAACATCCTCCTGTGTTTTTAAGCCTTTGAAATGGACATTTGGGTCTCATCCAAGGGGATCTCCAAGGAGGAGCCAGAAGCAGCCTCCTGTCCCTCAGCAGGGCGAGGACACCCCGTATTTACCCAGGGAGATCAGAGACTCGTAGTTCCCCTTCATCACATTCTTGTACAGCTCCTTCTGCCACTCCTCCAGCTTCTCCCATTCCTTGTCATTGAAATAGACGGACACGTCATCAAAGGTCACCGGCACCTGCAATTCCAACAGCGGCTTCAAGCAGGAGCCTGGACACAGCCAGGCTTCAGCTCCTTCCAGGCCGTCGGTGAGCTGCTTTTTGCATTTAAAACAATTCCAGGGCAGCTATTTCTTTGGGAATAAAGGACTCAACCAAACGGATGGCTCCTGGTGATGAATCCAGACTGGGATTTCCCCAAAGGACCCCTGAGGCCTCCTCTCAGTCCCTGCTCTCTGCAGGGTGATCAGGCTTGAGGGACCATAAGGGAGAGAAAACCCAGGAGATGGGCTGGACTCATCCCTATTGATGAGCTGACGTAACTCCCGGATTCAATTACCCCAGAACTCCAGGGAAAACTCTACCCGGGCCCACAGAGGCCCCCATTATCCCTGGTTACTGTTGTGCCCACCATCTGCAGCTTCCCAGCTTGTTAGCCAAGGAATAATTCTTAAGGATAAATTCAGGATGTGCAAAGTGAAGCAGAGCTCTTCAGAGAAAACGCAGCACTCCAGTTCTGTCCCCCAACTGCACTAATGGGGTGTCAGGGTCTGAACCCACCTTTTCCTGATCCTCTCTGCTCTCTCCAGAGATACTCCCTCTCCCATGTCCTACGTGGTCTCATTTGCACACTCTTTTAGCAGGAAGGTTGTGAAATTCAAGTAGGAACTGAATATTGATGGTGGGCTCTTTCCAGAGCTATGCCCAGGGAGCTCATCTGCCTTCCTGAATCTCAAAGCTTCCCCCTTCCCTGCAGAAGCAGCTCCCACTTGCTCCTTCCCTGGCCTGGGAGACTCTGCAGCGTCAGGGTGGTCAAAACAGAAGAACCACAAAATCTGCAGGGTTTCTAGAAATGGTGGCAAAAAAAAAAAAAAAACGAAGAAAAAAAGAGTCAATGGCCCCAGGGCTGTGCAGCGCAGTGGAGCAGAACTGAAACCTCTGGCCTGAGTACCAGGATGTCCTCCCAGGCCTCTGTCCCACCGTATTTTAGCCCCAGCAGGGGATGAGCTGGGAAGCTGCAGTGGAGGCGAGAGACTCACCTGTGCCAGGGGCTGTCCCCGCTCACCCACCCCGGGCCTGCCCTCCGGGAGCATTTCGGGTGCAGTGCCCGGCTCCCGCACCCCAGGACACCGTTACCTTGGGCACTTCCCCCTTCCTGCCCGGGGGCAGCCGCAGGATCCAGAAGTTCCTGTTCTTCAGGAGGTTCTCCATGTTCTCCAGGCGCCGCTGGAGCAGCCCGTACTCCTGGATGAGGGTGCCCAGCGCCGCGCACTTGCTCTCCAGCTGGTTCCCCAGCTCCGCCGCCGTCTTCTCACAGTCGATCAGCTTCTTCTCCGCCATCCCCGTCCGACCCTCCAGGTCCAGCAGGCGGGTGGAGTGGGAATCCACCTTGCGCTCCACCGCCTGCACGGCCGCCACCACGGTCAGGGACAGCTCCGCCGTCTGCGTCTCCCGCTCCGAGGTGCGCTCGGGGCCGGCCGCCGGCCGGAGGGGCGAGGGGCAGCGCGGCGGCCGCACCTGCTCCGGTGCCTGCGGACAACAAGGGCGCGGGGTCAGGGCGGGGGATCCCCCGCGGGGGGATAGGGACCCTCCCGGGGCGATAGAGACCCCCGCCCCCGGTGTGACACGGGCCCCCGGGGCGATGGGGACATCCCCGGGGCGATGGGGACATCCCCGGGGTGATGGGGACAGTCCTGGGGCGATGGGGACATCCCCGGGGCGATGGGGACAGTCCTGGGGCGATGGG